TATTTCTGTGTATCGTTATTTTTTCTCTTTCGTCTTGGAAGATTTCTCCACTATATTCGTTCCATCACTGAGGAATTTTGCCCTTCTCTGATATGAGCGTTCTACCCTTTGATTTTATGCAGCCTTTTGACGAGCATGCCTTCTGTCCTGTTAGCTCCTTTATTTATTTATGCTATCACCATTTTTGGTGGTACTCAATCTCTCTATTTCTGCACATTTTTTGTTTTGCCAATCTTTTTTTAGACTGCCTGCATTTGGTCCTTATTTCCTTGTGTAATTTTCTATATTCCGTTCCGTATCTTGACAGACTTTTCGGTCTCTTTTGCATCATGTCAAGAATCTCATCAATCATCCACTCGTTTTTTTCTTCTTCGTCCATTTTACGAAAAACCAAATTGACTACATAACTATTAACGAAAGATTCAGGAATGTAATGGTTCATTGCAAAACCTACCAAAGTGTCGACTGCGAAAACGATCATCGCCATATTATATGTAAACTTCTCTGTACAGACTGCGTAATTAGATGTTTTCTTCCTTTTCATCAGCGACACCTAAAATATGGTTATCAGGCCTGTAATGAAGGACTCGGTACCTTTGAACATTTTCTATGATATCATGTTTCAGCAACATTATTGGAGATTTCTGAAATCCCGCATTAACACGTTATTTTTATGATAAGGAAGACAGTATCTGACAATTTCACAGACTCGTTTCTTTCAAAGAAATTATATATATATATATATATATATATATATATATATATATATATATATATATATATAGAGAGAGAGAGAGAGAGAGAGAGAGAGACAACGGCATTACTTTCCGTTCTTTCAAAATACGGTCAGTTTTAGACCCGCTGGGAAGACAGAGTGTAATCGATTTCTATTTTTCCTCAGATTAGTTCATTTGCAGTGGTGTGCAGTAATATGAATCTGTTTTGTGGGTGTATGATGAAATTTAGTTGTCATTTGAAAATATTCTCTCCTCTGTGATTGCATCAGATTTTTAGCAATCTCATACACTACTGTCTCGACTGCCGATTAGTTGTCCTACGGCCATCATCTGCGATAAACTTTACATCAAGGAAACGTACGGAAATTGTAACGCTGCACGAACTGGCAGGCCTTAGAGAGTGATCATGGACTGTCCGACGAAAGAGAAGCTCGTGACACCCATTATAGACGTGTGGTACCATGACCCCAAAATCTATAGGGACTGCTTCAAATTAGTGGATTCCATGGCAGATCGCATGAAAGCGCTTCAAAAAAATAAATGTGGGCATACGAAGTACTAACATGTGCACTGGCTCATGTTTCATAGGGAAAATACGAAAAAAGTAGATAATAAGGGAATTGTTGTTTTTCTTTCAATTAATTTGCACAAGGTCTCTCTCTTCTCTCTCTCTCTCTCTCTATATATATATATATATATATATATATAAAATTCAAAAATTTGAGACAACGCCTGTTATTTTTTAAAAATTCAACCAAAACTAGTTGTTTTATACTTTAAATAAAGCTAAATTATTATACATGTTTAAAAAGTGAAACATCTTTTTTTAATAGATATTTTATTATGTCAAAAAGGGTAAAAAAGCGTTATATAATTAAATTTTGCTCTAGTCAAAATATTCTTATTTAGCCTTGATTACTGTAGAACAATTTATTTACATTCGTTGCAAAGTTTTTTCAAAGTACAATTTTAATAATTGATTCTATTCTTTTTTTCAATGATTCAAACATCTCTTTTTCATGTCAGTTTCATCCCATGCTAATTCTCGGGCGTGCCTTCAAACTTTTGAACAGAATCTATATATATATATATATATATATATATATATATATATATATATACATTCGTTGATAGAAGCAAAACTGAAATTGTCAGATATTCTCTTCATTATTCTAAAAAAATATTCCTATGTTACGTATCCGCACAACGCAGCTGTCATTCAGCATTCAATATAAAATTTTAAAGCATACTGCTATTGTGGGTTTTACTCTATTAAATTAATTCTATTAAATGTTACGAATATTATCAATGCTAAGGATATTATCAATGTGGAAGGGATGATATTTAACGAATGGTTATACATTTATGTATGAGGGAAAGTATACTGATAGTATTTTTGCAATAGCCGTTTTCTCAGATATGAAATAAATTATAAGTAATATTGCACAATCATCATCCATATTTTTCTACGTTCTTCTTCTTCTATTTGCCGTGTCCGTTCAGGACGTTGGCCATCATGTTTTCCCCCAAAAAGTTTTCCTTTGTAGCTCTTATTAAATATAGTATTTTTATCTCTCATAAAGTATATTCCACTATCAATTTATGGCAGCTTATCCGTTGTTTACCTGCCACATTTGCCTTCCATTTGTCCTGTCAGTATCAAAATGTTCAAACCACGTTCCCTCATTGGGTAATTTAAAATATTAACTGCCCCATTTTCAAGTTTATGTGCCCTTTTGTTTCCATTTTCACTAAAAACTTCCTCCTTGTTCACATGATCAGTTCATGGTATTACAAGGATTCTTCTGTGGAATCCGATTTATGCTACTTCTTATGTCTCTTCTTCATCTGTGATGAAATTCTCCTGCATTTCAATCTATCCAGCAATCGTCTAGACTATTAGGTCTACATTATCTTTTCTGGTCTTTTTCGCTTTGTTAGAATAGATCATAAGTTCATTAGTTTCACCTAACAACGCAAGTTACTATAGAAAACTTTAACGTAAAATCTTGGGTCATTTTCATGAATAGAATTGTGAAATCGGGAAATTCATATGGCTAATATGCCTGGTGCAGAACCCATTCACAAATGTGTTTTCAGATCAATGCTTAAAGTTGGCTTTGATCGAGTGAAATGTGAAGATCTTAGCCATAAACGTCCTTCTTCAAACCTTGTGAACTGGCTCTACAGAATGACAACGAACTGTACCAAATAACAGACACTACGTCACATGAGGAGTTTCAACAACGGGAACAACTTAAATGGATAGAAAAAAAAATAAAACTAAAAATGCTCACGAAACTGGAATAGAAAATAATGACTTAATTAAGATGTTGACATTTCACATCACTTTAAAAAGTTTAGTGAATAAACTCCCATCAAGATGGAAAAGAACGATAGCATTTAGTAGACTTGTGAAAACTAGTTTTCTGAAAAAATTGTTTAAAGAGAAAGATAATAGAAATTTCAACCAAGAGCAACACTCTCAGTTCGGCCATTGAATTCCGAATGTTTTCCCATAAGAAAACGGTTAATATAACCATTCAAATTATCCCTACAGCGAAGTAATCTAGTGTTTCTTGTAATTCATACAGATATTATTCATCCAACTATTCTAATATTATTAAAATGTAGTCGTAAATGATTAAAATATTCTTAGGCTCTACTTCCTTCCTAATTAAGTTTACGCTCGAGTAACGTAATAGAATAACTACGCCGAAAACTTTATTAAATCCTTCTCTAATAAATTAGAATTACTATAGCACGACTAAAATGTTGGCAGCTTTCTTGTCTGTATAGACTGCTTAAATAGAAGCACTTTTCCTTTGGTAGTGTTAAATAGCAGCAGCAACTAAAATATGATTATTAGGCGTGTAATGAAGGACTCGGTCTCTTCGAACATATGCTAAGATACCTTGTTTCAGCGACATTAATTGGGGATTTCTAAAATCCCGTACAAGTTAAGCACTAGACACGTTATTTTTAGAATATGGGAGACCGTATCTGTTTATATAAACCTCGGCTGGGAAAACAGTATATATATATATATATATATATGTGTGTGTGTGTGTGTGTGTTTGTGCGTGCGCGTGCGAGCAGATATATTGATAAAATAGAAAAGAATCGTTACATTGATGATCCGAAGTACTTTAATATTTTTGTTTTTATTTTTAAAGAACAGTGCTCGATACACAAGTAGAGCTTAGATTATAATTATTTTTTTTTAAAATACGATTCCATCGTTGCACAGGAATTACCATGTTTCAAAAACAGAATCTAAATTCCAGTTCAATTAGAGAAATTAAATTAAATTAAATTAAGTTCTGTTTAATTTTCAAGCGCATTTTGGAATAATTTGTTTTGAAATTTACGGAGCTTTATAAGCACATACATTCATAATATTAGTTTCTATGGATATGGAGAAAACCACTCATTTTAATAAGGGGTAGTAGGGTATATATATATATATATATATATATATATATATATATATATATATATATATATATATATACAGTAAATGCTTTTTTTGTTTCATTGGCCAAAAAAATGGAGCATTTACTCAAATAAAGTGTATCTATTAAAATAACGTATAAACAGAAAATATATTAAATATTTATCGGACTTAGTCCATTTCATTGTATATGCACACACACACACACACATATATATATATATAAATATATATATATGCGTGTGTGTGTGTGTGTGTATGTGTGTGTACTGCTTTTCTTTCTGACGCCAGTTAAAACAAATGTAGTATAGCCGATAACGCAATTGAACATTGAATAGGTTGCGTTAGAAATAGTTTGCCCAAATACCGCAAATTGTTACAAAACCAAAGCATTAACCTGAAAACTTGAGCCATGTTCTTAAATAGCCTCGTTAGAGTGAGACTTTCATATAGTTGTCATGCATGGCACAAAACCGGTTCGTCAATATACAACTGTTTTATATGATGATACCTTTGAGGGACAGTAGCTTGTGGGTGATGGCGAAAAACATTCTTCTCCGAACATTGGGGAGTGGCAAAAATGATATCATATTCAAGATGTTAACATTCAGCACGACTTCAAAACAAAAAACAAAAATTAAGAAGAGAACCACTCTCCATAATGAAAAGAATGATAACAATTAGAGGACTTTTTTAAAAAATTGTATTTTCCTGAAAATTTGCTTTAATAGAAAGATTTTATATATTTCCACCGATACTAGTACTGGCTGTTCGGCCAATGAAAATCTACGTTATCAATTACCTATTAGCTTCATTTATTCTCTCTCTCTCTCTCTCTCTCTCTCTCTCTCTCTCTTTCTCTCTCTCTTTTTCTTTCTCTTTCTTTCTTTCTTTCTTTCTCTCTCTCTCTCTTTCTTTTCTTTCTTTCTTTCTTTCTTTCTTTCTCTCTCTCTTTATGCATATTTGTTTATCCATATGTTATTTTTTCAGTATTTATATGCAACAGAACTACGCTATTCAAAACGATTCATTTCTCAAATACAGGAAACACTCTAATTTTATATATCTATTTTTTAATACCATTTCCATTCAGGAAGGAAATGAGCAAATATATCCGCATATTCCATTTTTTTATTACTAAAGATTTGTCATCACTTTTTGAGAAAGACAGTGAAGTGCCTCCGCGACAAATTAAAAAGAATTTAACTAAGCGTTGACCATATACTGGACTAATTGCCACCTAACACTCACGAGAACAGTATAGTTTGCTATTTAACCCATATTTGAGGGTAGAAAATATTTATCCCGAAGGCAACAGTGCGAAAGTGAACTTTACAAATTGTAAATGAACATGAAATGTGTCTCTGTTTCTTTTGTACTCACCAAAAAAAGAAATGTGCAACCTGAAAGACCACTTTAGCGATTAAAGCTTAAAAGCATAGTTTTATTTAAAGAAAACGCTGGTAATCATGAAGAAATACCACCACTCTACATCCAGTCAATGCGAAAAAGTTCACAAAGTTATCTGGCTGAAAACTGAGGAAATACCGAAAGGAGATCAAATTCTGGTTGATACTTTACATCGAAAATTAATCTTCGTTTTGTTTTAAGGGATGAATCCTCTGTTCTGCATAACGACAGAGCGCTAAAGAAAAAATAAATGAGAATTTTTTGTAGATTATTGCTTTTCCCAGACAAATGAAACACGTTTACCTAGACCTGTTATTAACGATGAGAGATTAAGTTCAGAACAGTGCTAAGAATTTCATAATCTCTACAATCATCTGTAAAATCTATCTGAAAATTGTCTCGCAGTATCTCGTATATTTGGGGTTGCCAATCATCCTTTATTAAAAAGGACAATCCTTTCTTTATTTCTTGTCCAAGACTGTACTTGAATTTGCATGATAAAAACTATTATTGTCAAATTTATTGCTTAACTTCTTCTTCTTCTTCTTCTTCTTCTTCTTTTTCTTCTTCTTCTTCTTCTTCTATGTGTTGGGTTCATTCAGTACGTGGGCTATCATGTCTCGCTACAATTTCTTATGCTTTGTAGCTTTTGCTATTTTTTTCTTTTTATTAGCTCTCGTAATCCCTGTTCTGCCACCCTTTTACAAATCTTCGGTAGATTACGACCTGTTTTCCTATGTCTCTCTTGCCTTCAATATACTGGGAATGCCAAATTCTCTTTCCTTATTATGTTCGCTTGAAATTTCAGTAGTCTCTTTCTGTTTCTACGCATGTGTGTCCGTTTGTTCCTATTTTCCCTCCATCTTTACTTACGTGTTCAGTGCGTGACATTCTCAGCAACTACATTTCTTTTTCATCAAGTCTGTTATTCCGTTGTGAAGGGATTTTAGAGAGGACACTACCATAGCGGAAGAACGGTATTAGTTCTATACTCATTTCTTTGCGTCTATACAGAAATCAGATTAAAATTACTATTTGTTTATTCTCCTTATGTTCTTATTATGACATTGCAAATGTGATAAAACAATCTATACTACATAGACAGAAAATATCAGTAACATAAATCTCGTAGGGTGAGCGCTTGATTGTCACTCTGCAATTTAATAATTATTTGTCGGCAGTCGGGAAAAAAAATCGACAACTCCGAGAAAATGGAGTTATAAAATCAGCGAAAAAAGGACTAACTATCAATCGCAAGATAACTGAATGTATTGTCGTTAGGCCAAGTTGCTAGCTACGAATCAGAGAAAACTAGCAAGTATTTGAAATTTAACTATCTAGGAAATATTTTAATAGATGATGGTAGGTATTAAATAATAATCTAAAAACGTACTAAAATCTCCCCAAAACCTATTAAAAGCAATAATAAACAGATGTTCGTTCGGAACAAATCACATAGGCTGAGCTGCTTTGCAATGTCAGTTCTCCTGTATAACAGTGAGTGCTTGGTAATTTCTTAACATATGAAGATTATTGAGATGTCGATCTACAGAAGGATCATGAGAAAAACATGATGGATTATGTGTGTAAAGAGAAAGTCTTAAATAAAGTGTAGACAAAAATAGCGTATATTTAGAATCGGAAAAGGTCAGTTGAGATTTCCGGGATACATTCTTATGAAAGTGAGCTTTGAGAACTTAACGCCCACAGAACATAACGAGGGCAAGAAGAGTCAGAATTACCTGACTAATGAGCTTGTATGAATGAATACAAGGACAGTGAGTAGGAGGTATTGTAAGGGGACAAATATTACTTGCAGTTACGAAGAATAGGATGTCGTAGAGAGCTATGATCGCCCATATCCTGAAGACACATAAAAAAGAATAGAGATATGGTATCAGTAGTGTCGGTAGTCTCAGTGTAACCACTCTGTTATATAATATACTTGTAGATGCAACCGTAAGTTCTATTCTAATAGTTTCTTTACTCGTAATCGTCCCGGTTTCTTGCTTCTCTGTTATTTACATCTACTCCTAGACTCTGTTCTTTCCCTTGTTACATGTTTAGGATTAGGCTTCAGATTCCTTCTCAAATTTTCTCATTATCTTACACTTCCTGTAACCCCCCTTGCGTCTTAGTAGCATTATCGCCTTGCTTTCGGCAAAATGATTTTAAAAAATCTAACACAATTCTAGGTGTCAACTTACATATTTTTAACGTTATTAAACGTTATCAAATTATTAACAAAGATCTTTCTGAAATGATCTAATCTAATAAGCAAGAGACGACTCAATTTCAATCTTCCGCTATTTCTAATAACAGTAAAATTAAGAAAAGAAAGCAAATAACATGTAAATATATAATCAAATAGACATTAAGTGAATTATAAAGAATATTATATTTTAAATGATTAAATTCGCTAGGTTACATGTTGAAAGATATTTTTCTTGCACTTACAGAACTTGTCAGTGTTAAACGAATTAATTCGATCAACTTTTTTTTTTTTACTTTTTGATCAGATGTACTTAGCGAATTGCGAGTAACAATTTTCTTTCCAAAACAAAAGGCTTCAAGAGTAGCCGCAAACAGCAATCTAACGGGAAATAAATACTTAAATAGTTCAGAATCAAGGGCATCAAAGACGCATTTAGAAAGAATCTTAAAAAATTGCGCTAGAACATGGAACTCAGCTGAATTCGCGCTCAGAATTTTCAGAAATCAATTAAATAAACTCTAAAGTCATATACACGAAAAGAAAGTTGTGGGAAGAACGTGAAGGTTTTAAACAATGGGGTTTAATTAAAATAGAATCTTAGGGAAGCAGCTTCACATCAGTCATGATAAAATAAACTGGAAAGTTAGGGGCTTTAACATATTCTTACGTACGAAATAAAAGTGCCCTCACGATTAAAATATTCTCTTTAATCTTTTCTGCCAGTGTTTCTACTTCTTTTTCTCTGTGTCGTGTCAATACATGACATGGGTGATTATGCCTCTTCACAGTGTCCTATTCTTTGTAGCTCTGAACAATATTTCTCTCGATACTATCCCTGTTTTGACATCCATTTACACACGCTCATTAAGAAGGTTTTCTTTTGTCTCTGTTACTTTATGTCCTGTGAGTACTAAACTCTCTAAGCCGTTCTTTCTCATGATGTGTCCGAAAAAGTTAAACCGTCCCTTTCTGATTCTAAGTATGTATCTATTATGGTAATTTACCCGCGCACGCATGAACTCTACCAGCTATAAATAGGAGCAGGTACTGCCTTTTTGGAAAGGGAAGATTTCAGCAGTCGTCTCTGAAAGTCGGACCGAACATTCTTGCTGTAACACTCTCGTTTGTATATGTTTGTATTTGTGTTTCTGTTAATATATTTATTTAACTGAATTCCTCTCTCTGTGTCTTTATTTCTGGCCCTAACAAGGCCACAACAGTATCAATTTTTTCGCACTTTCTTTAAAGCTTTCTTGTTGCATTCATGCTTCATCTATTGTATTCTCAGTACCCTTCTGTGTTGGCGAAAATCTCATTCATCTGTGATGAAATTTTACCTCCTTTGACTGCATCTTGGTATTCATTAGGTGGACGCTGTACATTTGATGTAGCTAAAACTACCACAGAGAGACTACGTCGGTTCTTGATAATCTCTGGAAAGGAGAAAATACTTTAACAAAGATAGCAAAATATGAACTTCGGACAGTTTATCCACAACTTCGAACATAATACTCAATATCGAAAGTTGGAAAAGCATAATCAAAAATTAAACAGACACATCTTGTGGGTTAATTCTAATCAAACTTGTTTGGGTGAATATTGGTTTCAGAATATACCTCATAGGTGCCGTTTAGGAGATTGCGTCTCTGATAAAAATGTTAGTATATATGTTGGTTTTACAACGATGATACTGACGAGAAGGCTTACATTTGACTTGGATGAGAATAGATCAATGTCACAGTATTTAAAGGAATACATCTATATTACACCAAAATATTAATAAGCAAAACCTCAAAATCCTAGAAGCCCTTTTTATGAGAGAATTATTACCAAAAATAAATAAGTCAAATATGAGTATAGCAATAAATTTCTTAATTTAATTTAATTCTTAGTTGGTAGCAGAAAAGTTTATATATATATATATATATATATATATATATATATATATATATATATATATATATATATATATATATAAAAATAAAAAGAAATAAGAATAAATTAGGAAATAGAAAAGTTGCCTCCCTTGCATGGAAAAAATATCGTGAATTTGATAAAAACGCAGTAAAACGAACAATAAAATGATTTGAATGTACAGAAATATATATACACTTACACATACACAGACAATTTAACGCCTTGAAGATGGTTTCCGATGAAAATGAAAATACTTCGAAAAAAAAATTATTTGAAAGAAAATGTCGGTATTTTTCTACGGCTACTAAGAAATTGATTCATGGAAACGAGAGGATTAAAACAAAAATAAACAGACATAGTATGTCTAAATTTTTTTTAACCAAACCTGTTATATATATATATATATATATATATATATATATATATATATATATATATATATATATATGAATAAGGTATATTTAGGCGGAAAGTATTCACCCAAACAAAAATGGTTAAAAAGAACCGTTAAGGT